AGAGAGAGAGAGAGAGAGAGAGAGAGAGAGAGAGAGAGAAAGCGAGGGGCGGGGCGGGGAATGGAAGCAAGGGAAGAAACGAATAAATTTAATACAACGGTGGGAAAACTTTTTTTTAAATGATAGGGTAGAGAAGACATAGGAAGAGAGGTGAGCCTTCAAAACGAAAGAGTGACCGAGAAAATGAGAGACGATGTGAAAGAGAGAAGAGGATGAGGGATTGATGGAGAAAAGAATATCGGTGAAAACTTAATTAGCAGGCAAAAATGAGGAACGAAAATAGGGTTTCCGTTGCATAGAAAGAAGTAAATTTGTGTAGAGGAGATATCTTAAAGCGTGCGTAGATCATAGCGATTTTATTGCGCAAAGGGGAAATTTATGAGGAGATGATGGCAGTGTGAAGGGGGAGAGCGAGGTGGTCTAAATGCGATGTCTGGCTGTCATTGTGTTTTGAAATCTGTCTGAAAGCTTGTCTCCACATGGGAAGTGAAGTTTAATTTTAAGATGTCCTTGTGAATCCTTGTTTACAGCCCTCTCATCCCTGTCTGTCTGTCTGTCTGTCTGTCTGTCTATCTGTCTTCTGTCTATCTGTCTGTCTGTCTGTCTGTCTGTCTGTCTGTCTGTCTGTCTGTCTGTCTGTCTATCTATTGTTTACGTAGAAATACGAAGTCTCGCAACTGTGTTAAGTGTATAAAATGAAGACAAAATCTTTTTTTTCTCTTTCACCATCTCTCTCCTCCTATCCCTCCCTATGTCTTTTTAATTATTTTTATTTGGTAAGTGTTTTACGACGCTAACAACTGCAAAGGGTCTAAGAGCGCGGTGGACACACAAAACATTTTCAGTTTTGGGGGAAATATATTTGAATTTGTCCTGGTGGCGACCGTCCCTTCTACTCTTATCGATTTTAGGAACATGAAGGGATCTTTAAGCGACTCCGAGTAGGATATGCGTTAGATCTCACCTACCCTAAGACCAGGGCCGTGGCTAAAAGACAGTAGTATGAAGGAGTCAAGAAGTAGCAGTAGAAAAACAGCAGAAAGAGTCCTGAAGAGAGGGCAAAGGAGGGAGGGCGGGAGGGGGGGGGGCAGAAAGTGAAGTCGAAAGCAGACGACAGAACATTATAAGAGAGCAGGAAAGGAGCTAAAAGAAGAACATGTTTCATTTTTTAGAAGAACATTTCCGTCTCAGTCAGGATTCAAACCCAGAATGTGAGGCGAACACCATAACCTCTAGACCACGAGAGCCCCCTTTCATTTTTCTCTTTCATAGTATAGTATCATATATGCTGTGTTTTGCTGTGGGGAAAAGGGAGGACGGGGCTTGCTGTTTCGTTGTCTTTTTGTTTTTGTTAGGACTTGATCTCCTTCAACTGGGCTTTTTGAGCTATTTTTTCAATTATTACGAGAACATTTTTCAAGGAAATGTGTGTGGTGGGGGAGGGGGG